AATTATTTTTTACTTATAGTGAAAACTACCCTTGGATGATGGGTTAGTAGACTAAAAGCTTTAGGAATCCAAAGTACAACATATAATAAGTACCCTGTATCAAGATTGATGCAAAACAAGTGACATTTGACCTTTTTATAGAGATTTAGCCAAAAACCCCACTTCTGGGGTCATTTGGGTGGATTTGACCTATCTCTGGCCCCCCTTGCTCGATGTTGATGAATGAAATCTCTTTATAACCGCTAGAGCCAATGGAATCTCTTTATAACCGCTAGAGCCAATGGAATCTCTTTATAACCGCTAGAGCCAATGGAATCTCTTTATAACCGCTAGAGCCAATGGAATCTCTTTATAACCGCTAGAGCCAATGGGATCTCTTTATAACCGCTAGAGCCAATGGAATCGAGGGGAAGTTCTACACACCAACACATTAACAAATAAGGAGTGAGAGTGAGGCGTGGCCCAAACCGGAAGCTGCATACACTACACACACATTAATAGTTTCATAAATGTGAAGAAGCCCTGAGACACAGTCTGGGGGGGGTCCACTGGGGGGGGTCCACTGGGGGGGGTCCACTGGGGGGGGTCCCACTGGGGGGAGCGTCGTCCTTAAGAGTTAAGACTTCAGGAATGTTAAATGGAGTTTGGTCCCAGGGGTTTATGATAGGACTCTCCCATTGGTTGCCTTTTCTAAGCCCCGCCCCCTGTGTTTACCTGCGTGTGGAGGCTCTCGGCCCCGCCCTGCAGGCTCCACCTGTAGCTCATGATGTGGGCGTCGCCCAGCGCCAGGCTCTGGATGCCGCTCAGCGTCACCTGCACCCCCGGCTGAACGATGACATCACGGGCCGCGATGGCAATGGGCGGAGCCTGATCACCTGGAGGACAGGTGAGAGACAGAAAGGTGAGAGACAGACAGGTGAGAGACAGAAAGGTGAGAGACAGACAGGTGAGAGACAGACAGGTGAGAGACAGACAGGTGAGAGACAGACAGGTGAGAGAGACAGACAGGTGAGAGACAGACAGGTGAGAGACAGACAGGTGAGAGACAGAAAGGTGAGAGACAGACAGGTGAGAGACAGACAGGTGAGAGACAGACAGGTGAGAGAGAGGTGAGAGACAGGTGAGAGACAGACAGGTGAGAGACAGACAGGTGAGAGACAGGTGAGAGACAGGTGAGAGACAGACAGGTGAGAGACAGACAGGTGAGAGAGAGGTGAGAGACAGGTGAGAGACAGGTGAGAGACAGGTGAGAGACAGACAGGTGAGAGAGAGACAGGTGAGAGACAGACAGGTGAGAGACAGACAGGTGAGAGACAGGTGAGAGACAGACAGGTGAGAGACAGGTGAGAGACAGACAGGTGAGAGACAGACAGGTGAGAGACAGGTGAGAGACAGACAGGTGAGAGACAGACAGGTGAGAGACAGACAGGTGAGAGACAGGTGAGAGACAGACAGGTGAGAGACAGGTGAGAGACAGACAGGTGAGAGACAGACAGGTGAGAGACAGACAGGTGAGAGACAGGTGAGAGACAGGTGAGAGACAGACAGGTGAGAGACAGACAGGTGGAGAGAGACAGGTGAGAGACAGACAGGTGAGAACAGACAGGTGAGAGACAGACAGGTGAGAGACAGACAAGTGAGAGACAGACAGGTGAGAGACAGACAGGTGAGAGACAGACAGGTGAGAGACAGACAAGTGAGAGACAGACAGGTGAGAGACAGACAGGTGAGAGACAGACAGGTGAGAGAGACAGACAAGTGAGAGACAGACAGGTGAGAGACAGACAGGTGAGAGACAGACAGGTGAGAGGACAGACAGGTGAGAGACAGACAGGTGAGAGACAGACAGGTGAGAGACAGACAGGTGAGAAACAGACAGGTGAGAGACAGACAGGTGAGAGACAGACAAGTGAGAGACAGACAGGTGAGGACAGACAGGACAGGTGAGAGACAGACAGGTGAGAGACAGACAGGTGAGAGACAGACAGGTGAGAGACAGACAGGAGACAGAGAGGTGAGAGTACAGACAGGTGAGAGACAGACAGGTGAGAGACAGACAGGTGAGAGGACAGGTGAGAGACAGACAGGTGAGAGACAGACAGGTAGAGACAGGTGAGAGACAGACAGGTGAGAGACAGACAGGTGAGAGACAGACACTACACTATATTCTTCACATGTAAATATTGTTATAACGGTCCTGTTTTATTTAGTTTTGCTACGTATTCTTCTCTGTGTCTTTGAACGCACCACGAACACAGAGATCATTCCTCCTGGGTGATCTACAGGTAATACAACCTGTTCTGATTGTTATTGTTATTACTATTGTTGTTATTGTTGTTATTGTTATTACTATTGTTGTTATTATTATTACTATTGTTATTATGAAGTTAGAAGATATTACAGATAAACGTAAAAAGTAGATTTAGTGAAAGATAAATAAGAGTATTTAGTAAAGTGCAATATAAGATACTAATAACATCAAGATAAATAAAGCCTTCCT